AACTGGTGTTGTCATTGTTCTGGTCCTGTTTGAATGACTATGTTTTTAAGATGTATAGAAGACCCTATCTTATCATAAACAGCATCACTAAATAAGTTTGGTGGGCTAAGTGTGTGTGTAATAATAACTAAAGAAGAGGTCATGAATTGATGAATTGGAGAGAGAGTTGGGAGACACAGGAGGAGCTGGATATGAGGAAATGTGGAAATGACATAAATACAGTACTCATGTATAAAATTATCTTTTAAAAGATTAAATTTAAAAATGATGACACAAACAAGTAACACCCAAAATGAATTATTCTTACTAAGGATTTAGATTTAGATTGTTTGCTTTAAGGCTAAAATTATGTTTGTTGGAGTGTTCGAATAAAATTAGGTGAAGCAGAGTGCATGAGTTAGAGTCATGAATTAAAACTGAAGTGAAAGCTATGGATCGTTAGGAAACAGAGGACAGTGAGGATATCAGGAACGATTGGTGATTACACACTGCTGGTGGGAGTATAAGTTAGCCCTGACACTATGAAAATCATCACGGAGATTCTCAATAAAAATAAAAGTAGAATTAGCTTGGGACCCAGCTATATCACTCCTAGGTATCAACCCAAAGGGCTCTGCATCAACCTGTCACAGAGATTTGCATATCAGTGTTTTTAAAACAACTTTTCACAAGTAGTCAAGCTATAGAATGGGCTTAAGTCTCCTTCACCAGATGAGCAAATAAAGAAAATGTAGTGTGTGCATAGCACAATGAAGATCAAAGTCGTGTTGTTTCTAAAAAAAAAAAAAAAAAATGGATGCAACTGGAGATTGTATTAACCAAAACAAGTCAGACTCAGAAAAGACAAATAACATGCTTTCTCTCATTTGCAGATCCTAGGATTTATATAGATGCCTAAAATTATACACACATGCCATGAAAGTAAAAATGAGACTGGAGGAATGAAGTGAAATAGTGAAATAGTGGGAGAGGAAAGGGGAGAAAGAACATCCTGGGGGAATTAGAGATAAAGTGTTATATCTTTATTAAACCCATAACTACAATGAATACACACTAAAAAAAAACTATTTAAAAATAAAGTTTTAGTGCGTTGATAGAGAGGAAAGGCACAGAGAAGGGGAAAGAAAGAGAAGAGAGATGTTGAATGATACACATCCAAAGGAAGGGTTTTTCAGCCTTTGAAACATGACTCAGACACCCAGTTTCCAGTGTACAAAAATCTTTATTCTAATAAATGAAAATCTAGACAAACTGGAAAACCAACCATGTTTCATATGTTTTGCATACATGAATGTCTATGTACCACTTGCATGTCTGGTGCTTACAAAGGTTAGAAGAGGGCATCTGGAGTTTGTGAGCCACCCTGTGGGTGCTGGGAATTGAACCTGCGTCCTTTGAAAGAGTGTAAGTGCTGAGCCATCTCTCCAGCCCTAACCTTATTTCTTACAGCTGTCAGAGAAGTGAGGTCACAGGCAGCTATACCTCTAAGTGGAGAGACAGACCCAGGTTTACAGGGCTTATGATTTCCTGGAACAGAAACTAAAAAGCAGAAACCACCAATGAACGAGAACTGGACTCTAAAAACACATTAACTGGTAAAATGCTCATTGTGGGCAAGTCTGAGAGTTAAAAGTGCCAAGGAACCCAGTCATGGAGACAGATCCTGTACTTTTGTGAGTTTTAATCCAGGGATCCATTACATCCTCATAGTATTTAACAGAGAATACTCCCACGGTACATCTGGCAGTGGATGAGGAAAAAGGTCTAATTTGAAATACCTCAGAGCACTGGGTGTGTCTAAAACAGATGTGCTCTTAGGACAGACTATTAATTGAGACTCTAACCTGCAGGGACTTTATGAGAAACTGATGGACATCAGGGAGGGAAACACCAAGCTTCGGTTGCTTCTAAGCTCCCATATGGAGGATGGGAGGGGAAATCTAGTCTTAGTTCCCTAGTGATATAGATATATAAGACATAGATATGATAGGATAAAAGGGTAGATTGCTGAACCTACTTTTAAAGAGCGACTTGTTTAAAAATGTTTTACATTGCTATGGATTTTAGTTTATCGATACAAATTGAAAGTTAATTCTGTTATACTGTATGTGTATTTTTACTCTTGTTTAAGGTACTATGTTTATACAACTCATTTAAATTGTAATGGAACAATTAGTCTTCTATGATAGTCAAACTTATAGTCATGTAATCTTCAAACACTTCAAAGACCTACAGAATATGGCATTTAAAATGTTTTAAAAATTTAGACTTTCTGGACAGTGAGACATGTCTACTCCTGGCAGCACTGATTTATTTCAGAGAGGAGGATGGGCATCGAAGGTACTCTGTATGGAGTTTATCTTCTTTTTGGCAAAAATAGCCATTTGGGCAAGAAACTGTTCTTGTCTGGACTGCTTGAAGAAATGTATTGACTGGACGGGCATACAGGACCTATAGGAAGGTGACCACTGAACTTTGCTTGGCAAAATGGTTCTTCAGGTTCCTGCTTCACAGAGGAAACTGCCAGACATTCTATAGGACACAGAGAGAAGTGACTGAGAGACTCTAGGACTGTGGGCTGAAGAGAGATGCCTCAACTTTACAAAGGAACATTAGGTGACTGTCCAGGCTGCCAGCTGTCTTTGTCTACCCTGCAAGACTCCCGAAAGCTGCTTGTGTCCTCCCGTATCTCAGGTAATATTATATCCTTCTGAGGTCTTTGATGTAGTTGTAGACTAGATAGTTATAATTTCTTTAGTTATGATAAAAGATAAGTTAGATATGAAAACTTAGACTCACAAATATGAGATAGATAGGATATCTTCTTTAATTTTGTCAACTACAAATAGACTAGATCTTGTAACTGTAATTCTTACTAGATAACTATTTTGTTATATGCAATTTTACTATGTTAAAGTTAAAATCTTCCTTTAAAAAATAGAAAAAAGGAAGTGCTATGGGATGTCCTGTATGTTGTAAATAAATAAAACTCTGATTGGCCAGTAGCCAGGCAGGAGGGATAGGGTAGGTAGGACAAGGAAGAGAAGAATTCTGGGAAGTGGAAGGCCACGTGGCAACTTACAGACTAATAGAAATGGGTTAATTTAAGATGTAAGAACATCTAGCAAGAAGCCTGAGCCATTACACCAAACAGTTTAAATAATATAAGCGTCTGTGTGTTTATTTTATAAGTGGGCTGTCGGACTGCTGGGTCGGACTGTAGTTGGGAGAGAAAACTCCAACTACACCCTAAGCTTTTCACAAAAGGGAAAAGGAGAGGACAATGATGAATTCTGGTTGTCATCTTAATTACACTATGAAATGCCTAGGAGCCAGGCCTGGAGCAATGGCTCAGTGGTTAAGAGTGTCTGATGCTGTTGTAGAGGACCCACGTTCAGTACCCAGCACTCACACTGGGATGATGCACAACCTCCTGTAATTCCAGCTCTGGGGCAATGCAACCCCTCTGGTCTCTGCAGTCCTAGACATCTCTCTCTTTTTTAAAAAAATTATTTAATGATATTTTATGTGCATTGGTATGAAGGTATCAGATCCCCCAGAACTGGCATTACAAACAGTTGTAAGCTGCCATGTGGTTGCTGAGAATTGAACCCAGGTCCTCTGGAAGAGCAGCCATTGCTCTTAACTGCTGAACCATCTCCCCAACCCATCTTTTCAAAAAGATTTATTTATGTATGTATTTTATGTATATGAATGCTCTGTCTGCATGCGTGCCTGCACACCAGAAGAAGGCACCAGATCCCATTACAGATGGTTGTGAGCTGCCATGTGTTTACTGAGAGTTGAACCCAAGACCTCTGGAAAAGCAGCCAGCACTCTTAACAGCTGAGCTTTCCAGTCCCATGTTACTCAAAATTTTAAATAACCCTAAATAGCTAAGCAATGTTGAAAAAGAAGAGTTTGTGGTCTCATACAACCTGATTCAAAATCTATAAAAAGCTACATATTTAAAACAGGGCAACAATGGCCAAAGGGTGGATGAACAACGGAATAGAATAGAACCTAGAAATATATAAACTTATTTGTTTATATTTTTAAAACAAATAAATCATACAGCCAAAACTAAAAATAGTAATAATAATAATAATAATAATAATAATAATAATAATAATAAATCTCCAATATTGGAATGGAGAACTCAGGGCTAGGAGACAAAGGTGTCTAGGATATGTCCCTCTTTCCCTCTCCTCTGTCCTTCTTAGTCCTTACCCTAGAGAATGCAAGTGTTGGGTTGGAAACTTGTATCTCTGGCTGACAGCCAGTTAGAACCTCAGGTCTTCAAACAGCCACAGAAGTGATGAGCTTGAAGCAAACACACCCACTGGAGCCTTGAGGTGATGATGGCTGTGGCAACCACTTTGATAATAGCTTCTTAAGAAGAGACACCCACTTCCTGGCTCCTGCTGGGAGACAGTATCTGCTGCCTTAACCTGCTAGGTCTTCCTGTAATTTGTTCTGCAATACCAGGTGACCAGTACAGTCTTTCCAGGGAGAGTTTTCCTGTCAAATTCCTATCATCTGCGTTGTTTATAACTGTACACAGTATGTCTACTTCCCTGGTCTATTTAACCATTTCAGTTCTGATAGACGTGAGAGTTGGTCCTGTGTTCTCTTCTTTAAATAAATGTACACAGCCTTATAGTAAATGAGCGGTTCCCACAGGACACTGAGAATTGCTGAACCAGTCCTGGCTATAGGTTCAGCAGAGGACAATAAGAATGTCTCACCTTGAGGATTTGCTTGTCCTGTGCCACAAACTTCAAGATAATGGTTCCATTCTTGAGACTCTAGAACAGTCAGGAATGATGTCAAAAAGGCAGTGGAGAACAAAGAAAACGTATTGCTACCCTCACAATCTCACAAAATCATGGCCACTTTGAAGACAACCACAAAGCCAGGTTTTGGTGGTGGTGGTGGTGGTGGTGGCGGCGGCGGCGGCGGCGGCGGCGGCGGCGCACACCTTTAATGCCAGCATTCAGGAAGCAGAGGCAGGTGGATCTCTGAGTTCAAGGCCAGCCTGGTCTACAAAGTGAGTTCTAGGACAGCCAGGGCTGTTACACAGAGAAACCCTGCTTCAAAAAATGCAAAAAGAAAAAAAAAATAAAGATAACCACCAGACAATGGAGTTGAGTTGGGTGTTCAACTTCATTGCACTGTTGTTATTCCGTTTTGGCACCCACAAGTGAAAACTCTCTCCCCATTTCTCTCCATTTTGGTTTCCATCTGTATTTGTAACAACTGTCCTAATGCTCTTCTGACTTCTAAACAATGTTTAGGAAAGCAGTGGAAGCATGTTTGCCTGCCCACCAACGAAGACAGAAATCACAGTCTAAAGATGGGATTTACAGATGTGCCCTTCAATTCTGATCTAGGGACTGGGTCTGGGATGTTTACAGATGTGCCTTTCAGTTCTGATCTAGGGACTGGGTCTGGGATGTTTACAGATGTGCCCTTCAGTTCTGATCTAGGGACTGGGTCTGGGATGAACTGAGGAGAATACAAACCTGGGTCCCTTAGCTGTCACTCAAAAAGAGACCTAGACTATGACTATGCAAGAGACTAAAAAACACAGAGACAAGAGGCGCATGATCAGCCTCCTGTTCAGCTCCACAATGGCTAAACAATTACAGGACTTAGGACCGCCTGTTTAGAAAACAGTCTGAACCTAGGAGATCATCTTTACATGACTTAACACATTTCCTTCTTTAGCATGAAAAAAAGTCTGTGAGAAATGAAGTGTATGTGTCACTGGAAAAATAGATTGATTCTTCAAACGGCATACCCTCCTGTCCTAGTTGAAGCAGGAGGCAGTTCTGTTTTGACACAGAAGCAAGGAAAAAGGAGCAAAGTTAGCCCAGCAGAAGCCTGGCTGTGAAGACAAAACCCAGAAGCTCTTTGTGTGGCTGAAGAAGTCCCAAAGAATCCTAGGCCTAGAGCATGAGCATGAGCTCAGTTAGGTTGCTATTTTTGAGACTGTAACCACAGTGGGATACAGTGTACAACTCCAGTCTAAGAGGAAATTCTGCCACTATCAGGAGAAAGCTTTGGGTCCACTGCTTGGCCTCACAAAACCTTAATTCATGGTATAAAGTTCGGATAATAATATTGTCTTGTGTGACAAGCAAAGAAGGCAAGAACCCTAGGAAAATAAAAAGGTGTTACCAAAAATTGTATTTACAAAATCAAAATGTTGAGGGATGAGGTGAGGGTGAGCCAAAAGAGGTCGTATGATGATGTTGTGTAAAGGAGAGAAAAGCCAAGCTGCTGGTAGAAACGGCCCTACACCACGGCCCCACCTGGGTGAGCGTTTGCCGGCTAACCTCCGGCCCTCACTTGCCCTCTAGGTTGTGTGTTTGTGTGTATAACACACCATGTGCAAACCAAGTGTGTCACAGATGCATAGGTCAGGGCCATTTGTTCTGGTCGCAAGCTCAAAGGAGTCTCAAATTCTGACTCATGTTCAATAGAAGCTTCTGAAAGGGATCAGAATGAAGCTGCACATAAATAATGATTCCAATGAGCTTCATTTACCTCAGTCCAAAGGACAAGCGGCTTCACACTCTAAGAGTATTTGAGTTCTCCTGAAACTTTTATGGATCTTATTATTTAATTTACTGCAGAAACACGATGCTTCTGCTTAGCTACAGTAAGACCCATTGGTTAAATAGCTCCTTTGCCAACTTTTAGATGCGGGGCAAAGACCATTATTAACACAAGCACTCACACACACCTGCACTATGGGATGTCTACCCTTGGAGGTTGTCAGCCTCTATCACAGATTTCTGTCCTGTGTTTCCTCTGCTCTCTCCTCAGTACTTGCTTATTTTAGCTGTTATTTCTGGTGGACATACTAGACACCTGGTCTCCTTTGACAGGTCAACACATCACAGACAAGTGAGTTGGAAATTCCATGTCTATGAGAGAAAAATCAAGGTATTTGATTTATTTATTTGCGTGTGTATGTATATATATATATATATATATATATATATATATGACTATTTTTATTTTACGTGTATGGGGTGTTTTGACTGTATGTATGCATGTGCCCCAAGTGGGTGCCTGTTGACTGTCAGAGACCAGTAGAGGGCATTGGATACCCTGGAAATGGAGTTACAGACAGTTGTGAGCTGCCATGTACATTACGGAAATTGAACCCAGGTCATCTAGAAGAGCAGCAAAGTGATCTTAATCATTGAGCCATTGATGAGATCCCCAGCTCATTTTATGTTATTAATTTTAATTATACATATGCGTGTGTGTGTGTGTGTGTGTGTGTGTGTGTGTGCGCGCGCGAGTATCCCTGGAGACTAGAGGTGTCTGATTCCCTGGAGGCGGAGTCACAGGCAGTTGTGAACCACCTGACCATGCTGGGAACCGAGCTCACATCCTCTGCTAAAAGACACCCTTAACCACTGACTCATTCCTCCAACCCCAATTCCTATGTCCTTAAGTACACATCTGCTTCAGAAAGATTCCTTGTCCCTGAGGATGGCGAAGCGAATTCCCCAAACAGAAAACCACTCATCCTGTGCAGGGCTTCTCCTAGGAGGGGAAGCCACCCCAGAACAACTGTATAGCTGTGCTTTTCAAACCACAAAATATTTCCGTTTATTTTAAATTACTTACTTATAATTCTTATGTATGGTAGCTACAGGTATTCTCTAGAAAGATTTTATTAAAAATATGGCAGAGTTAAAGTTTTGGTTTCAAATAACTTTGTTTTGAAAAGCTAGTTTAGGTTAAAGATGATGACATAGTGAGATGATAAACCAAAAAAATCTCAGTGTAGCCGACAGTAAACTGGTTGTAGGATCTAAGTTTTGTATTCCTGTGCGAATCAATGTTGGGAGGATTTAAAATTTACACTGTTGCAACTAGTTAATTTGTCACCGATCAGATTGTTTTAATGGCCAATCCTTCTCAAGAGGAGCCAGTAACTTCATTTGTAAACATATGCCTCCCATGTGTGCTTCATCTGGCCTGTTTTGATTGTATGAAATTCAGTAGCTAACCTACATCCATTCAAACAAAATATTGTAAAAACTCACTTGATAAAGGACATTACATGTTGATTTTATGAAGAGTCTGATTTTTTTTTTTTAAAGTAGCATAACAGCTCTCAGCAAATATTTTGCTAATCCCACAGACACTGGGAGAAAGACCACTGATCTGAATTATGTTCAAATCAAAGCAAGCTTTATTAGCATCCCAGGGCGGTGTTCAAGAGATCAACCTCAAGCCAATTTCCCATACCTCTTTAAGAGGACAAAACCCCAAGGTGGGGCATCTTTTCAAGCAAGTATGGCTACAGAAAAGGGAACAGGCAGGATTTTACAAAACAGTTAAGGAAATCTTCCTGGAGTATTTGTCCCAGAACTTTTCATGGTTACTTGGTAGTAACAGGCCAGCTCTGAGAAACAGACACTTTTTCCGCAGTGAACAGAAACTTAGGTACAGATTCAAAATAGTTCCCAGGAACCAAGTGGAGTTGGGCTGGTTCCTCAGTTCCTCCTTGAAACTCAACAGTCAGGTCTGAGTTCTGTTTGGTTTGGGGTTTGCTGCGTCTCATCCCTCCAGGCATGGTTTCATCTTCGGCTCTTAGCCTCATTTCAGTAACTACTGCTGCAGCTGGGTTGGAGGTGATCTTCCAACAGGCCTTCCACAGTGTCCTGCTCTTTGAACCCACTTCTTATCCCCAACACCGCAGGCAGATGCTCCACGCCACATCTGTTTGCTTTCCTCTTTTCTGGAACTGACCATTCTCTCCACTGCCCCTGCCCCTCCCCCTTCATAATGCAAGGAGCTGAATGCCATTACCCAAAGTTCTTTTTTGGTTGTTTTATGTATTGGTTTACTATGTGTATGTGTGTGTGTGTGTGTGTGTGTGTGTGTGTGTGTGTGTGTGTGTGTGTTCAGGTTAGGGAAAAAGATACTCACACACTCTCTTGATGGTTTCCT